CGCATGCTGCAATTTTTTAGATATTCCGTTCTGAAATACAGAATGCTTCGAAAATGATTCCAGTTAGACTGAGATGGCCCGTAAAATCATAAACCGTCTTATGCGGAAACAGAAATTTCTTTAAAAACTTAAATATGACCGCAACTGTCATCATTTGCAAAGGAACTCCTGTCATCGTTGTTTCCAATCAAATATTTTGAATAGTGAAGTTCTTCCAGAATTGCCAGATTTCCTGTGGAGGTCAGGGCGGGAAAAAATGGAAAACTCATTGATACTCGCAGGAATGACAAACTTTGACCTGTAAGTAGTTGGCAAATCAAATGAATTTTCAATTAAATCATAAAGGTTTAAAAAGGGGCGTATGGATTTGTCAGTATATCTCCCGATTTTTGCTGTCACTACTTATAAGAGTGCAATGCAATTGTCCTCTCCTGTATGACAGACTTAGACGATTAGGTGCAATCAAATGATTGTCGTTGTTTTCGTCTGTTAGGGCTTAAATTTCGGAAAAGATGCAAATGTAATTCATAGCAATAATCCATTGGTAGCCTTAATTCGGTATTTTCGAGATTTGACCTTTAATTGTAATAATAAGAACTGGTAATAAGTGATATAGTGAGAACGAAAGTGGTATTGAGATGGTTTTTCGGTAAGAAAAGTTAAAAAGAAGTGAAACAGTCTTCACATGTGATTGTTACTAGCCAATGCTCACCTGGCCAGTGTCTAGTGCAGTATACTTGTCCAACTCACTTTTACTTATCCATCTACAGTACTCACAATCCTCTCTTTGGCTAGTTTCCTTCTTCCACAGGCATTTTTGGATGGTACCCACATCTATACCTGCACATGCACCCGCACCCACACCCTCGGTCTCTGATGAGAAGGGAAGGGAAAGCATTGACGGAGCAAGATTAGGTAAACTTTCCAAGATAGATCGCAAACTATTGCGGATCGCTTCTAGCATATATTTGAATACTCTCTTGATGGTCGCACGCTTGTCTGTATCTCATTGTGCACTAAATGTGTATCCCTTCCTCTTTCTTAATATCAACATGTTTTCCTCTCCTCTTCCTCAATAATTGACATACTCTCCGCTCCTTTCTCTGAGACGGTCCCTTACTTTCGTATCGTTGTGTGCATTCCCCTTTCTCCTCACCCTTCCTTGTTATCGACCAATCCCTTTATCCTCTCGCATCTTCCATATCTGCTCAGTATATCGTTTTCCCCTGTTCTCGTATGCCTTCAAAAAACACGCTTTCTTCACATTTTGCATAGAACCTGTTATGTACTCCCTCATCATTCTTGGTTACTATCTCATTTTGTCGCTGTCTCGTCGTTTGTACATTCTATTTATCTAGTACTATTTCGTGTGTGAAATGTGTGATTCTCCGCACATTGCGCACTGTCTACAAGTCATCGACTCTATCGAAGAGCAGTCTCCACCCCCCGGGTAGTGTATCTTCTCGCGAGCTGCTCAGTGTTCAACGCTGTCTCCTCTGCCGCTGCCTGCCCTCTCCCTCTTTACACTTCCTTTATATATTTATTGTTATATATGCGTGTATGTATGTATGTATGTATGTATGTATGTATGTGTGTGTGTGTCTTATTGTACACACATACACACACGGGAAGGATGTGACGAGAGAGGGCAAATGGTGCATCGCCCCTTCCTGCCTGTTATTTTGCCGATAAATTGATAGAGGTATGTCTGTGTGTCCCGCATAGACCTACACACACTCACTCACACACACATGTCTCACCCGTCCACTTCAGTTATATATTTTTCTCATTTATTATATTCCATTCCATCTATATTTTTAAGTATTTGTTTAGTGTCACCTTGAACGAATGGACAGACGGACAGACAGACAGACACGAACTCCCCAAGTTGTACTCATTTTCAAAACAACGGGAACTCTTTCCCGCCCTGCTAACGGCTTATTCATGTCTGTAGAGGTCAGGTATGCTGCCTGACTTCTACCAAAAGATATGAATGAGGATTGAATTCAATGCAGGTCAATTCACTGTCCCACACCGGACTGCCTTCTTGACCTCTGTTCTTCCTCTCTCTCCTTTCCTACCAACTATCACCATCAATGCCATTGCCACTGCATCCTTTGCACCTCATGCAGCCTTTGATAACATGCGTCCAAATTTAACTTATAATTCAATTTGCATCTTTGGATAATACATACATACACACACAAACACATACATACACACACACACACACACACACACACACACACATACACACTTATCCGTGTTTCTATCAGTGCCTCTTGGGATACGGTAGGAAAGAAGTAGGATTTGAAATGATGAAAGGGAGCCTTGTTTGGATGGCAAGGAGTACTGTAAGCAGTGAACGGTAAAGTAATTACTGAAATAGACATGGCTTACCCCATGGGCCATATGCTATTTTTTACGGGAGTGTGTGACTTTATTCTCATCAGCCTTATCTGCTAACTTGAAAATGGAAACACTGTAATAGTTGAAACGTATGGCGATTATTTGTACCGAAGTCTCTGGGTGGTTTTAATGCATCCAGTGGTAGATACCTGCAAAGAGAGAAACGTTGTACACATACATCTTGCTTTACGGACATTTACTGCTGTGCTGTTGCTGCTGCAAATTGTCCAATATCCGGTATAATTGCTTTTATTCATGAAGCTTATCGTATTCCCGCAAGAATAAGAATATTCGTTCTGCATTTATTTAAATCTGATCATCTTTCCAATTTCAGTGTATCTGCGTGGCAATGAATCAGAATTTGGTACCAGCATATTTTCAGACTGGGAATATATCGAACTCTGCTCCACAGCAGGTCTCATTTTTTGAGGATCCATCTTCTAAAGCTGAGGCTTTTATAACTGCCCCAAAATGGGAGTTGTGAGTGCCCTTTACGAGCGATTTCCTGAGGCATCCATATGTCTGTGTCCGGATTTCACTCCCGATATAACGACTGTGTTGAAATAAGAACTGTTTTTATCACAACTTCAGATGTTTGGTTTTTGTTTAGGTCGAACATGTAGTAATTGGCGATCGTGTCAGTATACTGAAAGATGAAACGAAATCAACGATGCAGGTAATGTTAGGTAGGCGGATGGAGATTATATGACAGTTTTTCTTGTCATTGCTCCATTCTCGCTGTACTTATTTTGGTCAGGATTAAACACTTCTTTGCAAATAATGTGACCGTGTGTAGGAGCACTCACGCCATGATGATATGTGGCATCGAGGAACACTTAACACGTCAACACGCCAAAGTGACATATGGAATTGAAGAACACTTGAGATAGCGTGTGACGTCCATGCGCCTTGTATGGAAATTGAGCATAACTTTCGTTCTTCTTCGTTTTCGTACTTGATGAAATGCAGACGTGGTTAGCATTCTTCAAGAAAAATTTTAGTGATGCATAGGTGAGTTTATTAGTCGTTCGTATCCAACTAGCAGTTCTGTGTTTGCTTATTGTAATGTGTAATTGCAGCTACAAGCATCAGCACCAACGGGTATGACTATTCATTCAGCAGGTACGTTTTTCCAAACGACGTCCAGCAGTCCGTTCACGACAGCAAATAGTGGCCCCGTTTTTCATAGTTCTACAACAGCAGCGACATTTCTCCCCAATTCGGTTAGCTGTTTACTAATAAATCTTCTTCGAATTATTTGTACTTATTACATCTTTCAAACCAACCAAAAGTTCCCCGCATGCTAGAAAGGAAAGCAGGTTTTAGATTTATTTACAGTTTATTTGTCCATTACTTTTCACGGAAACTGATGTTTTTCAGGTCCAAAACGTTCAGATTCAGCCAAACACTGCAGCTACTCTTAATGGACAACAAACACAGCAGGTGCGTCTTGTGCAAGCCGTCAATCCCACACCGACCGTCAATGTTACATCCCCTCAACAGCAAGGCGCTACAGTTTTGACTGGTAAGAAAAATGCGTGTTCAGTTTTCCTTAGGTTATTGTTCATAGATAAATGGGCATTATGAGAAAAACTATCACGCAGCCATGTTTGACACCAAATGATTTGATGGTGCTAGTGTAATTACCAATTTTAAACTGAACTGAAGTGGCAAGTTTCAGTCAGACATGAATGTTGACGGATTACTCAGTATTCTCTAGCTTTGAAGAGTTATCAAGGTGATGACTTAGAGATGGTAGTTTTCGGCGATATTTTAGAAGGACTCTGTTTACAAGTTTCATATTTACAAATTTCATAAATGGAGTTATGTAAATTCACATCTTGCTTTTTATTTGCAGTTGTAACAGCACAGAATCCAAATGGTACAACTATGCAGATTCTTCAGCCACAAGGCGCTGAAACAGATGAACGACGTATTGCTGCTATATTGGATTCATATTTCATTGAACAGCAGGCTCCAACAACTTCGGTGGTTGCACCCATCACAACAGCTGCTGTAGCTGTCGCGACGCCAGCTGCATATCCATCACCTGCCAGTATTGTCGCAAAGTAAGTCGTGTAATTCGTGTAATGTTACAGCAAACATAATGAGAATACAATGCTGTGTCATGCAATAAAATGTTGGGAAAAATGGAATCTTAACAATCTGTTTTAAGGACTACGTGTTTTTAATTGTTTCGGATAGCATATGTGCCATACTTCGAACGATGGATTTGTAGATGATGGTACCTAACTTCAGATATACACGTGGAAAAGGTACAACACAAGAGAAAAAAGAGAAGGACGAAGCAAAACGAGCTAAACAGGCGGAAGCAGCACGCTTGCGATATCACCGGTTAAGTGCTGAGGAAAAAAGGGCGTTGAACATCAAGCGGACAATGGCGCAAAAACGCAAAAGACAGCGTGAAAAAGAACTCGAGGAACTTGAAAATCTCTTGCGGCAAACGAATGATATACAAGAGGTAATGAGGCTCCTCTTATTTATTTGTGGGAAAAAGCAGTTTGAATTCCAGGACGTTATCAACTTTCTATTTCAGGATCCGGATATTAATGAGCAATTACGTGAGAAACGGATGCGAGCGCGTTGGGCTGAAGCAGCACGTTCACGTTATCAGCGTATGTCATCAGAGGAACGCCGCGCGCATAATAATCGTAGACGGATGAGGCAAATTGCTGCGACGGAAGGATTAAAGGGGCCTGACGGACAGCCCGTAATTTTCCAATTGAGTTTAATTAGATTTGGCTAATTTTTTAAAATGATTATTCCATTACATTCCCATGTTATTTCGCACTGAATATTTAGCATAATTCTGAAGCGATTACGATTTTGCTTTTTCAGGATGAAGAAGCGATCAAGAGGCATATCAAGGAACAAAATGCAAAGAAGGCTGAAGCTGCTAGACTTCGTTACCATCGGATGACTGAAGAAGAAAAGAGGGCCTATAATCAGAGAAGGTCAGTTGTGTTCTGTACCGTGGTTTAAACGATTTTAATGTTAATCTGCTTGCAGATGAAATAATTTTATATATGTATATGTACATATATATATATATATATATATGTATATATATAATGAAGTGTATACGTTCTTGTTTATTTATTTGCTTATGTAGAACGGAAGCATTCCGGCGACGACGTATGGAAGAAGAAATGTTGCTTGCAATGCCAATTGGACGTATTAATGGAGAAGCTTTGGATCGAGCACAGCAGATTGTTGTTCGAAATGCGAAACGAGCAGAAGCTGCTAGGTTGAGGTATTGTTTTTCGTGTTAATATGATGCATATTTTCTATATTATTGAAGTGTAATGTTTTGTCTTTCTTCAGAATTATGGTCTATGTCATTAAACAAAAATTCCAGATATCAGAGAATGACACCCGAACAAAGGAAGGCCTACAACCAAAAACGGTATATACCAAAACGGAAACGACTTGAAAATTCTGAGGATGCTGAGAGTAATGTGAATCGTGGCCGAAAACGCAACCAAGAGGAACAGTTTGATGCACTTTCAACCTTGGAGAGAGATGTGATCAAGAGGACGCAGCAGGTTTTTTTTCAATCTAATTTTGGAAATGTTCAAGGGTTTTCTGTTAGTACTCTGCCGGGATTGATTAACCTAAGTTTACTTTTTGCGACATCTGTTATTGATACAAGAGAAAATTTTTAGTGTCGTGGACGCGATGTGGATATATGAGACTTTAAAGTTTTTTTGATTAGATCATAGCGGGCGACGCTAATAACTCTAGATATGATAAAATTTGCGTTCAGTTTAAATCCTAAGGAACTGCTGCTTTCTTGGCCCCGAAAAATTACATTGTAGGCCCAACAAGCTTTGATGCGCCAACGAGGCACCTCCTCAGCTAATACGCCTACCGGTGCTTACCTGACAGCGCATGTTGTTCAGCAGCCTCAATCGAATGTAACTACGGTTCTACCGAGCACAGCGATAATCCCTAATAGTAGCGGTGTGTTACCCGGTGGCACCATGTTAGCTGCACAGATTCAACCATCACAGATTCAAACCGCTCCAATTCAGGCACAACAAGTGCAGTCACAGCAGGCAAACCGGCCTCTGCAGCAGTCAATGGCACAAATCCCACAACAAGTTCAGGTATCTGATGGAAAAGACATGTTTGTTTCATTTGGATAATGAGGATTATGCTATAACTGATTCTTGGTTGATTTAGTGCCAAATTTGGTTTGATTTACATAACTTTAAATTTTTTACATACTACATTTTTTATCTTTTCTATTGGCATTTTATAGCTGAATTTCAAGGATTTTGAATTTTTCTTTATAACGGAGCAATAAAAAAGCAAAGTATAGCAAAATATATTTCTTATGGACGATAAATTGTTGAGCTTCGAAATTCATTAGCATTTGTAAGAAATGGAAGATATGATAGCCACTGAACTCCTTTCGAGAAGTGTTCGAAATTGTAAGGGTAGAAATATAACTAGTTGGTTGAGAAATGCCATCTTGCAATGTGATTGTTTTTTACATTGATTACTGAAAAAACCACAGTTTCAGGTACAACAAATCCATCCCCAACAAATCCAAAATCAGTCTTCTCAGCAGCAGCCACAGCAACAGATTCAATACACCGTGACTCCAGGCGGACAAATGATGGTTGGACAACATTTACAACAACAGTTACTTACGCCGTATGCGACAGTGCCTCCAAGAGCCTAAGTAATTTTTTGTTCTGAAAATTCCGTGTAAAAGAGTGACACTGCAAACTCAGTTTTCGGGATGTGCTACATTTATGTATTATAATCCGGTAATACCTTTGGTGCCAGGAACCTAATATCTAAATTCCTCATAAATAATGAGGCAAGGACATATTTTCATTACATTTCCAGCTTTTTAATGAAATAAATGAGCGAGCCATTGCTTCTTTATAAAAAAGACTTCTGCATTATGTTCATGAAATAATCGTTTTGGAAATCATTCGATATATATGCCATTCGTGATGTTGAATGTCCTCTATTCACTTCTTTTTGTTTTTCTTATTAAATATTAAAACTTATACTTTAAATATAGGCTTCATGTTTTCAAAACATTTTGTTGGGTTATTAGGCTTTGAGCCGGGTTCCTGGGCTCCAGACGTCTTTTTTACCCCGTACGTAAATGTCAGATCAGCTTCTGTTGATATATGTGATAAGGTAAATGTTAGCATCTTTTTTATTGCATAATGTATAGTTGGATATGAATTGGAAAAGGCAAAAGACGTGCACGGCGCAAGTGAACTTGCCACAAATGTGCCAGATTTTCTTAATATTACTGATTATTATGTAAAAGAAAGTTTTGTAAACCATTCTTTGTTTTGAGAATAAATGAACTTTGTAACAGTGATGGGATGGATTAAATGTATTGCTGATATCATATTTATGTATTGGAATGCACGGCCTTGCAGTAATGTTCACGTCGAGTGTACTCTCAGGTTTTTTTTTCTGCTCTTCTAATGTTTCATATTATGCAGTAATAATTTGGGTTCTATCATTCCGTGTCTAACTTAGCTCCATCGTTTTCATTTCATTCTGGAATTTTGTATTTCACAGAGCTTCTATTTCTTGATTCAGCTCCAGGAAATTCATTGCTGTAGTTTCAGATTTTTTTCACTTTGAGATTTTGAACAACTAGATTTATTCACACTCAAGCTCATCAATCCTAATCATGTTGACAAAGATCGCGTCAGTTGTGAACAGTTTTCAATTTTCATTCGTTTTTGATTTCTTGTATAGCAGAATATATTATGTTTTTGCAATATTATCTAATTTCCTCCTCACAGAATCCTGGAGTTTTATTAGTTTGGAATTTGTGGAGAAAATATTCGAATTTTTTAGAGAAAATAGTCGAGTTTTTCAAAGTTTCGTGAAATATTGATGATCATGAACTACGATTTATTCGAAAATGCGATATCTTTCCAGAACTGGAAGGGGAAGAATTTCTTGTTTGATTTTACCCAGCTTAATATATGTATAAATTTTTCGAAATATTTAAGTTTTTATCAGTTGTTCATTGAGTGTTTTCATTTTAATCATAGATTCATTGAATAAATTTGCTGATCTCGCAGAAGCTCATGCTGTGAACCATTTGCCGTTCGCTTGAGATAAGCGTTTTGTTACCTATTATCTTTAGGTTGGAATCATTTAATCAATTTCCTACGTTTCCATATATTGTTGTCGGGGAAAAAACAGCTTTCACAGGTCGAATGGTGGGGATTCCGAGAGAATAGCTTACTTTTGTTTCGAATATTCTTTTCAGGATTCGTTCCATCAAACATTGTTTGTTAGTGAAATTTTGAACAGCATATTAGTGAAAATTTGAACAGCGTATCTACAGATTACTGGGACAAGTAGCTTATGCTACCTTTCTCTTAACAAAATGAGCCAACGTGCATTTTTCTCAACTGCAGGTTCGGAAATTATGGGCCAGTCACAAATTCTTGAAGGTTTTTTTTTTTTCATTTTGCTTAATCAGTTCATTTTCAATAGTTCTGATGTTTTTAATTTTTAAAAAGAATTAACTTGAAAAGAAAATAATTGCAGGCTTGCCTACAACTAATATAGGCCCTGCTGTAACATCCGTGCAGTTTCAATCATCTGGTTGCTCAACTTCGGTTCTTTATCAATCCACCGTGACACCAACGTTTTACACTTCAACTGGATCTCCATTTCATAGTAATGGAGCATTTCTACCTCCGGCTGTGGAGGATCGCAAGGAATATGTATGTTCTGAGAGTGCAGTATTCGATTTTTTGGTTCTCAGCTTTCAAGGAATCAATTTTTCAGGTCGCTGTGTTGCCAGCTGGTGTACAAATAAACGATGCTTCGGGCTTGATACCAGCAAGTGGGAGAGGTACTCTCGCATCGGTGAGGACAGTTGATACTGCCAGTTCCGTTGCACAGCTTACTGCAGTGCCACTTTCTCACGTGCAGTTGGCGCCCGTACAGGTAGATTTTGCACTTTGTTTGCAGAACATGAGAATTAGTTTTTGGCCACTAGAACTAACTGCTCTCTTATTGTTTAATACAAAGCCTTACAAATTTGAGCGTGGTCATGAAAAAAAAATGCATAAACTAATTTGGAACTGCATGAATTTTTCACTAACTAATGTGACATTACTGCTAATAATGTACCTTAGCTGGCTAATGATGGGCAGTCAAACACTCAACAACAAATAATTTATGAACATTACTATGTTGATCAGCAACACCCGTCAACTTCGGCAACAATTAGTGCAAATTCGCGCGGTCTTCTAACTGAAGCCACATCATCTGGAGCTGAAAATGGCAAGTAAGTCAAACGAGCACATTTTTTACTGAGGAAAAAAATTGACTTTCTTCCGGAATTGTATGTGTGCTGTTTATTTTTAAGGGTACTACAGTTAATATCGAGTTGCAGATTTTATAATGTTGCAGAGATTTTGCGAATAAAAGTGGTAGTAGCGAGACGTGTTCATTGAATGGGTCCGATACTGCTGTAGCGCTACAATTAAAACGGCAAAAGCAGGCGGATGCGGCACGCCAAAGGTATCAACGAATGACCCTGGAGGAGCGGAAAGAGGTAAATCAGAAGCGGACTGAGGCACAGAAACGTAAACGACAAAAGGATAAAGAAGTAGGAATTTTTGGAAGTTAAGCAATTTCACCTGTACATCTATTTATCTATCTATATCTATTTATCTATATATATATATGTATATATATATATATATATATATATTAATAAGTAAATCTATATGTGTACTTAAGTTGGAGGAATTAGAATCACTATTACGACAATCGAAAGATATAGAAGATGACCCGGCAATAAATGAGCAACTGAGGGAGAAGCGAATCCGAGCTCGGCGTGCGGAGGCCGCACGTTTGCGTTACCAAAGGATGAGCTCGGAAGAAAGACGTGCTTACAATCAGAGAAGACGTTTTCGACAGCTTGGCATTCAAGGTGGTGATGTTCTGCTTGCTGCTTTGTTCTTGGTTTTTTCGTGGAAAGTGATCGAGAAAGGCGCTTGTCTAGAGGGAGGTTCAAAGGGCCAGGAAGTAGTTGTTCTGTAAAAATGTTTTGCATAAAAAGTTAAGGTCTTAAATAGCGGATAAACAAATCCGTCTGTTTTCAAAATTGAATGCTCATATAGTTGGGAAGCAGCTATTTGTTTCTTTTTTTTCTATTTTCCGCCGTGCTACTCATTGTTTTACTGATTAATGTGGCAGTTTTGATTAAGAGGAGTTTAATTTTTGATGTCATTACTTAGGCTAGGTCAAGAAGTTTAAAAATTGTTCTGTCAGCTTCTTGATGCACATAAGATGGTTTTATTCTTAACGCTCAGGTTTTCAGAAGTACAGTTTCTTCGCTCACTACTGCCTTTTATGTAAAAATTGGTGCTTGTTTATAGTGGTACTGAAATGAATCAATAAACTGTTCAGATGTTAAAGCTTTTGCTATTCGATTACTGGTTGACAAAGCCACTTAATGCTTCCTATTAAATTACCTACAAATTTTTGTGTTCTGTGATTTGTTATATGAAAAAATGTTTATTTTAAGGTGCAAAAAAGAACGGCATGGATGAAGAAAAGTTGCGGCAACATATTATCGAACAAAATGCTAAAAAGGCTGAAGCAGCAAGATTGCGTTATCACCGAATGACTGATGAAGAGAAACGTCAGTACAATCAAAGGCGGTAATTATTCTAGAAGTTTTTGAAGCCATTTTGAAAACAGTGCATAAATGATGAAAGTGAGGATGTTCATCTGATTAGAACTGTGATGGAATTTGCGGAAATCATAGCTTTTGCTCCAAGAACACCAAGCATTTTAAATGGTTTTTTAAACTGACGCGAATATCGATGAAGCCGAGTCGTTCCGATTTTTATGTTTTTCCAAAAAATTTCCCGTATAATACATGTCATCAGTTTTCATGCTTTTGACAACATTTGTCACTGGGATTTTCAAGTATTAAAGTATTAGAAGTATTAAAGTTTTTCAAGTATTAAAAAGTCTATCGTAAATGATTTAATTTTAGGACGGAGGCTTTTCGTCGTAGACGTATCGAGGAAGAAATCTTGCTATCGACTCCAGCAGGTCGTATAAGTGCGGAGGCTCTGAACAGAGCACAGCAAATAATGTTACGTAATGCTAAACGAGCGGAAGCTGCTCGATTACGGTACGAGTTCCTTTGTTTCTAAATTTCGATTTCATATAACTTCATTTCGTCTACAAAATCGGCAGCGTGAGTGATTGACTAAGTATTATAAAGAGGCATATCTACTTACTAGTCATTAGATGCTGAACGTTAAAGCTGAGATGCTTCTGCTGCTTGTATAAGAATAACTGTGTTTTGGCAATTTGAAATAGATGTAGCAAGTGCACTTGCTCAACTTTACCGGAAATCGTGAATTGATAATTTAACCAATCGCCTCTGGTAGTGTCACTTGCAGAATTTCGAGCTCTAAGATCGCAGGGGTGATAAAGCTACCAAATATTAAACGGTGGCAAAAGAGCAGCTCCGCACGCATATCTAACACTGAGAGTACTGGAGAAATGGGAAAACACATTTTCCTAGGAAATCATCAGGTGACATTACTAGAGGCGTCTAAGTTACATATGATCAACTGGAATACTAGGGAGGAAACGATATGCTGTGTTTGAAATGAGAAAGATAGGATGTTGAAAACGGTGCATAGCATTATAAAGATCCAGAAGTCAGATATTTAAAACTTTTTAAGTACTTTTGCTTCGGATTAGGACTCTCTTTTTTTGGATTTCAGGTTTTTGTTTTTCCCGGATAAGGCTAAGAAATTTTTGTTAGTAATTGAATTTATCATTCATTTTGCTGCTCTTATTGTACAGAAAAAAAACTATCCCTTTGTAATCTTTTTTAAATAATTTCATTTAGTCTTGACTTATTCTGTATATTTCATCTTACGGTTTTTGACTTTGGCTTATCAATTATAAATATATACTGTAGATATCAACGAATGACACCAGAACAACGACGAGCATATAACCAGAAAAGGTCTCGTGCAAAAAAAGAACGCGAACGAGTAATGCGTGCTGCATCAGGTTTATTTCTGTGAGCATAAAAGAAGATAAGATATTCTCCTGTAACGTGCTCCAATTGTTTTGAGATGGGATTGATATTAAGAGCTTACTTGATTAAGAATGCTCGAAAAGAAAATTTTCTTTAAAATACGAGGGTGTTGTAATCATTACCACTCGAAATTTCAAACTCAGTTTTTCAGAGGACGCCATGTCAAGTTTATCATCATCCATAAATGGAAATGAAAGTTCAGCACAAGTTAACACCAGTAATAATGCGGTGGAACAGAAGCCAGTGATTGATAGTGTGGTCAGCGAAGAGGTATTATCAACTCTGGAAAGAGATGTGCTGAAACGAACGCGACAAGCCAATATGGTGCTGATGCGGCAGAAAAGACTTCCACCTCAGGAGCAGTTCGTTATCGTATGTTTTATAGTCCTTTTGGATGTAGTTATTAAGCTGCAAATAAGTTTCACCATGAACCCAATGATAATGTGGAATGCATAGTGGTAATACATCTGCATCAGTTTTCCTCAAAGGGTTTAGATATCTGCATTCGACTCTTCCTGTTAAAACCGTCCATTAGATTTCCGTTAGTTTAGACTATATGTGTTTTGCATCAAAAATGTGGAAAGCTGCTGAGGAAAATTCCAGGGAAATAATGTACCTACGTTCGACATTGTCATGTTTTTGCCTACAGCAAGAATATGCGAACTGGTATGCATGAAAAATAAATACACACGAATTAAAGCGATGAATTAAACCAACAAAATGTGATAGTCATATTAATATATAAATTCGTTGAATGAATAAGTTCATAATAAGTTGAACACGCACTGTTATGTGAATAACCTCTAGCGATGCAGATCTTGCATAGTGCTATACTATTAGTACATAAGAGAGGGTATTGAAAATTTGTGGAAACCTGAAATTTTTATAGGTAAGTACAAATCCTGATGGTACTCAAACAGTTATCCCAGCAACGACTACCGAAGATGGCAAGCAAATATTTCACATTCCTGCTACAGCAACAACAACGGAGGATGGCAAACAAGTATTTCATATTCCAGCCATAACACAGCAGCTTATTACTGCCGATCCTAATACTCTGACACTGGTTGATGATTCGAGTAAGCTATTAGGGACCGCACAGCAACCACTGCAGATAGCATCAGTACCGCAACTTCTCGGTTTACCACAGCAGCAGCACAGCAACAGCCATGATCACGGAGAAACGTCGCATCAAGTTTGTGAAATTTTTTCACTTGAGTATCTGAATATTTGAGGGATTTGGGAAATGTATTATAATTTCTAATTTAAAAAAGCGAGACACAGGCATAAAATACCGTCATAATAAGATCACATTTGACCACTGCAGCAATTGTTCATATCCCCTTTAGCTTTACAATGTAAGGATGCGGAGAAAATGAAAACAGGTAGCTTTAGGAAAATATACGTTTACGAATTGAATATCTGATATCAAAGTTATAAAAAAAAAGAGCAAAGACACAAACATGTGAATCTTGAGCGTGACAAAGATGGTATTAGTTATAATTGATTCAGGAAGTTCGTCTAACTTCAAGGAATAGTTACAAGGAGGAAAACTGCAAATGGAATAGATATAAATTTCGAAGTAACATCGTCAGGATTTTTTTGGCAGATTGCCATGATCTTCCTGCAAGGACGATAAGGACAGCTAAAGAGTTCATTTTCATGATGATAAGGATATGTAGAATCGTTGCCTACAATTTGACCATCATACACAAACGTAAAGATTGATGGAACTCAGGGAAGTACTTTTCGTCTCGCTCCTGGATAAATCAAGCAAAAATATGCAATCGGAAGAAGGCAGGTTTTCCTGCTTACCAAAGAGTCTAATCTTTTTTTTAAATTTCAAACTTTAGGTTGCGATGACTCAGCAACAACAGATAATTCCACAACTTGCCGAATTGCACAATGTACAGGAAAGCGGTGGTGCAGATGATGCACAACACACGGTGCGCGAAAATCAAGTTGATGCACATGGGCAATTGCAAGCACATCAGCAACAGGGTTCACAACAACACATGCAACAACAGACACAACCACAACATATTATAGTAACTTTGCAGGAGCCTCAACAACCTATGCAGCATCAGGTAGAGACTACAAGTTGAAGTTTTCACATATTTTTGCTTCCAGATTTCGAAGATTTCCGAAAAAGAGTTATGCTTTTCTTCCACCACGTATTGCATTTAGATAATTGTCACCGATCTGAATCAAGCAACCGGAGCCGTTCTTTCAAGCATGAGTGGACATGGACGTTCACGAGGTCGTCCTCCGATGTATGCTGCTGCTGCTGCTGCAATTCAGCAACAACAAAGCAACGTAATGGTACCGCCAGGACAGGCAAGTTTATAAAATTTCATTAGTGACTTGTCGTTTATTCAATTGTCAACTGTTTACCCGTCTAATTTTTCATTTTTTTCTTCGATGCGAGAAATATTAACTTTTAGGTCACAATAACAGCAACACCGATGATAAGCGAGGCGGAAATAAAACCTCCATATCGAGTAACTGCTCCACGTCATATGAATACAGCGCCGAATAGACGCGATATTTTGGCGGTTGCGACCGCAGCGTCAGTTGGCCCAACAACAGGAATTTCTCCCGAACAAAAGTTAGAAATGCAGAGGGCAAAGCGAGCAGAGCGGGCGAGGTAACTTGTGTTATGTACCGAATGCCAGTTTGATCTTACTTAAATTTATCAGTGATTTGCTTTTCTGTGTTGAGGGACTATGGAAATTTCAGGTTACGTTATCACAACATGTCTGCTGAAGAGCGGCGCAATTTTAATGCGCGCCGTGCTAAAGCTTTGCGGACTGCTCGTATGAGAGACGACGAACTATGTCGAATGGCAGAGAGAGCTCAAATGTCTGGAACTACTTTGGATGCTGATTTAATGATACAAGTACGTTTTTGTTTTGAACTTCGTATGTTTTCAATAAACAAATCTTAACTTATGAATTATATTTAGGGATTGAAAGTTATTTTGGGAGTTAAATTCTTTTGGTTTTCAGGTAGCCGAAGCACAACGCCGTCGCGCGAAACGAGCGGAAGCAGCTCGATTGAAGTACCATAGGATGAGCAGTGAAGAACGACGCCAATACAATGCGATGAGAGATGCGCAAAGGCGTCAGAGGCTGGTTATTATATAAAAGGGTTTAAGAATGATTTTCATCGATAATGAAAATTCATTGACCTGACCCCATTATGAACTAAATCCTCATTAAACCGTTTGTAGGAAAAGACAAAAAGAGGAACAAGAATTGCTGGAACGTGAACGCCAGCAGCAGGAACAACAACAGCAACAACAACAACAGCAAAATGAAATTCACCAGGAGACCCGTGAACAGGTTGTGCTATTTGAAACTGACTTTGATTGATCGATACTCCATTAAATTCCTTATCATTATTCAGTTTTTCGGATTCGGAAAAAATTTTTTTGAATTGATATAGAAATATGCAAGTCTTGTGGCTATATATGAAATAAATAGAAATTCACGATTCTTATTAGGTTTTTTGTCATATCGCATGTTAAGGCTCATAGGTGAATTGCAGAAAATCTGAATGAGTTAGTGATGTCACATTAAACGTTAACAAATTTCTATGTTTTTTAAAATATTTTAAATATAAACCGTTGCGATGTCAATTACCGCTTGGTGATGACTGCTAAAGAACTTTGAAGTATCTAGCCTCATTCCGCAACTGAGTAAGCCGTTGGGTGCGCTCAAGAACAGTGAGAGACTGTAAGTGGAGCATTGCGGTGGAATAAATGGTAATATAGGGTTTGTGGATGTAAACAAACTGAAAGGAATACAGATTTATAGGTTCTCAAATCAACTAATAACTTTTAAAAAGGAAAGAAAAGAATGCATTTTGAAGGTTCTCAAATTAATTAATTAGTACTAGAAAAAGACAAGGTTCGAGGCGAAATGATAGTCAGATCAGGGATATCAACAGATATATAGCTTCCTGGGATTTCAAATCTTACGTTTACGAAATTTTTTTTTGTTTACGAAAAAAAATATATTGCTTACGAAATTTGTTAATCTGATAAATATATTTTATTGTTAGTTAAGTAAAACAATTGTTTTGCAGGATGCAAATCGTGAAGGTAACAACGAGCAAATTCTGTATGACTCATATATCCGTTATGACAGTCAAATGGATCATGGTTGGGCAGTACAAAGTTGAAGTTGTTTGTTATGGTCCAGACTTAATTTATGGAACTGCTCAAACCAGTGAAGTCCATGTGCCGTTACGGGTAATTCAGATCGTTCGTCAGCATCTGTTTGTTGCTTTATGTTAATCTTTACTTTGCTAAAATGATCGGTTTGTCTAAATTTTAGTCACTGCTATTGATTTTTATTCTGACTTAGTTCAAATCTGATTGTACTTTGCGAATACTAATTTGTTTTACTGTCAATTTTTTGAAATCTTGCAACTAAGTGCATAAGATCACTTTTTCAAAAAAAAATTACAATGCGTTCTTACCACAAATCTGTCAAATTTAACCAATGGAAATACTTGTTTCAAAGGATTAGTCTTCTTCATGATGCATGCGGAAAGAGGAGAAAGTCCTCTGTCATTTCTGACTCTCCGGGTAGCTTGTTTCTTTGATTTATCCAGAAGCATCCCACTCAGGTCGAGTTTTTTAGGCATAAAATCAAACTGTAACGGAATTACACTATTAAGGTCATTTAATTTCTGTTCTCTATGATACTTCTTCAAAGTCTGAAGCAAAATTATGCGAAATGATTACGGAAGTACCGCAAAAGTCGTACTAATTTTGCGTGTAATTACGAAGTCCTCTTCCTCTCTGGTACGATTATTTTAGAGTTCTATGAGCGTAGAAGTCTCATAGAGCAAGTGTAGTTCACATTTGTCCTCTGTTTTATGTGTGGCGCCTGGTTGAATTTTTCGATTTCAAATCTGTCACGAAATATTTCGCGGAATGTTTGGAATGATTTTTCATTTTTAAGATGTCATTTTAATAGTTCTCCAGCTTCCTTATTTCTTCATTCAGATATGCACACCCATTTTGCGTGACTTTCTATCTGCTATTCTGATAATTGATCGCCTTCTTCATAGTTTATAACAGTTGTATAATGAATGTTTCGTCCTGTTCTTTTAATGAAGATACTCAATTTCAGATTGTTCTATAAACCACTTATAAAACATGAGGCGCAATGAATGAGGGAAAATGAAAATAGCTCAAACAAGTACCCGTTTGGAATCTAAATGAAAATAGCTCAAACAAATACCCCTTTGGAGTCTAGGTGCTCGAATTTTATCTTTGAAGCTCGACTCTTACTATGAAGTGCTAAGACGCTCTTCACAACAGTGTCCGTTTAGTCATGCGTAAGGAATAAGAATTCCTAATCGAATTCAGCCTGCACATACACAACGTCTGCTTATTGGCTTTCCTGAAGCTTCCAGACCATACATCCTGTTCTGCCTACCGCTTTTGGTTTAAGTTAAACTGTTCGAAGGTTAACGATTTGAAATGTCAGTGCTTTATGTTTCAAGCAGCAAAACTCCCGCATTCTACCTGCTTTTTCTCACCTTAATAAGTATAAACCAGACCAAAGTGTCATGCTGATCAGTGCACTTGATTAAATCGATAGGTTTTTGTGTATGAAATATATATATCACAGTAGTAAATCCAATTATGCATACATCAAAATCCAATTTCAGCATTCAGAAACGATACGATAATTGTGCATACGAAAAGACATGACAAAACACACCCTGACTAATAATTTTGTTGTTTTGCGACAAAAGCAGAGGGAGCTGCAGTCTTAACAATTCCTATCGTTTAAGGAGTTAACATAGGGAAAATAGCGTCAAATCGGTTTTTAGCGACTAATAAAAATTTTTCTAAATTCCAAATGCAAAGAACATACAAGCTGAGATACATTAGATTTCGGTTACTTTTTTTTTTCTTGATGTATTCAGTGTAGCGTAATTATTCTCGAAATGATCGGTTATCCCTCCATCAAAGCCAAGAAAATTCCTAACCGCAGGACTTTGTAGAACTGTTGTAAAAAACTGGAAATAAACTAAAAAATATGACGTTTAATTGTATGGTTCTGCTGGGTCATTATGTGTTTCTGCAACTTCAGCATCATATAAACGCAATTCCATGTCAGCTGGATTTGCTTTGTCGCAGCGTAATTGAACATTGCGATTATCTTTTTCAAAATGTTCGACCTGGAAATTAAAACCAGTTTTTACTTCCTAATTGTCATTTATTACTGAATGGACAACTTCGGGGCTTCTATTTCACCAAAAAATGCTAACTCATTTACATCCAGCTAAAGATAACATATGTGGTCAAGCCTTTTAACTGGAGGAATAATGATATAAAATGGTCACACGTACATATAGAATGAATCACTTCCATAGTTTTTCCCCTGGATTTTACGAAAAATGGTCATCTCTGTCTTATCCTTAATGTAAAATTTAACGATTTAGGAATGGAAGATGAAAGAAGTGCTGTTAAAATGCATCCTTAACTGACACATAGAACAACCTGCACTGCGAGATTTTCTTCTGGATCCATATTTAGACCAGTTATTTCGTTGAACAGCTCAGTTGCTGATGGTAAGTTCTTGGCACCCAATTTCGCGAAAAATTCTAAAACATTGTCGACATCACGCAATAGGAAAAACAATGCTCGAGGATGCGAAATGTCCATCGCCTGTAACAAGTTTTTAATTAAATCAGAACATTGCTCATACATTTCCCCCTTCCCATTTTTTTGAAAGTGTTGTTTTCCTGAAAGATTCATTGATGAGACCTCATTGATGAAAATCTTTGTAATATTAAATTTCATGTAAATATTTCAATGTGAATATAAAGAAGTTAATTGTCAGTTACTACGGGAAAGAAAAAATTATTTAAAATTTAATTTGGTAAACTTAGCGAACTAGGGTTCAAATTTACTAGGTTTCAATCGACTTCAAATTCACTTCACAATTTAACCACTAAACTAACCAACCTGTGAGACATCAATAATGTAAACATCACTTTCATGATAAAGGACATTAAATTCGCTGAGATCACCGTGTACGAGATTGCAATTCGTAAACATTTTAATCATTTCCTGAAATACTGTTCGTAAGTACTTTTGTACGAATTTCGTTAACATTCTCCTTCGAATTAAATGAAACTCATTACAAATGACTTTAAAAACATAGTGAACGAATACTTATGACTGGATCACAAGAAACATGTTTTGCTTTCGTCTAGAAAACATGAAGAAACGTCTATCAGTAAGTAACGGAAGAATATAAATTTTAATTTTTGAACAATTTATTCTTAACTTGAATCATTTAAACAAAAAATTAGAAAAACACGGATGAGACAAACCGCTTTCACTTGCAAAAATGTATTATAAATAATTTCCTGATCACTCCATTCGATATCCTTCAGTTTACGGGCTGCAATACCATTGGAGCCAATGAATGTCATAATCATGATATGTTTCCTAAGACGGATCGGTTTCGGACATTTCACACCTCCTCGTACCATTCTTAAAAAATCACAATTTTCGTAAATCATATGATCTTGTCTTGATTACAATTCAAAAAGATTGGATTTTAAACATTTAAAATAATAATAACTCTGGTAAATTATGCCCGTATTTCAATTACGCTAAATCTACTGTTGAAGTAAAACTCTATACAAGTAAACTTTATTTGCAATTTTTACAGTTCTTTTATCTCGCAAAATCAGATAACCAATTAACCAAAGTCTTCTAATAAGACTAAGTAGTAAGAAGCTAAACGCCTGGAAAAACACTTCATATTTTTTTGTTTTTAATTCATTCCATGCTACTTTTTGTAACTAGTTCATACAATCAATTATTCTTGGGTTGGAAATCCATGGTGGGAGGAAAATTAAATCAAATTTCTTATGAGAACTTACTTCACCTCTTCAGAAAAAGAATTTGACTCCCTTTGACTCTTTTATTTGTTTTTTTTGACGTTACCAGCCGTTAGATTCTTTTCAAATTACATGTTGCATATCTTCTATCCAAAAGCCAAACGAAAACGTAGGATAGGAAACTTCGAAAGTTTCCGACTATTAGTAGTGTGAAGTATAAAAACGAACATTAAATATAAAAAGGGAAAATTAACGCGCTATTTTCTCTAACACAATTTATTGCAGTGAAAACTCATCCATCTCTATACATGTAAAACATGAAAAATCTAATTAATTTGGAAGCTTGAAACAATCAATAAGAATGAATACATGAAACATACCGATTCAAATTCGTGTACTCCTTTTCAGCCCAAATCCGCAATACTCGTCGTGGATTTCTGAAGCGATAATCATCTTGGACATATTCCGATCTATTCTTGAACTCCGACAACGTCATTTTGTAAACTTTCAAAGCACAATGTCTTTCTTCCAGAAGTCGCATTCCATCGTGTGCTGTTGCATGCAAAACTATCGATTCCTGTATTCAAACGCAACTTTTCAATTCAATTCTCTTAAAGTATAATAAAATATCTTTAGGCTTAGCTTTACACCAAACATACTTCTTATAATGAGCAAAGCCTACTAAGTATATGGAACGGCTGTAGCATTCTGCTATTCTCGATAAAGCCAAAAGTCATTGTTTATCTTAAAATATTTGACAGATTCATTTGTAATTTTTGAATACTGCCAATTTTCAATTTCTTTAGAGATAACCAGTGTGAAATATTTTATGCTGTTGCCTTCTCCAGTGCTTCATAACATCAATATTGTTGGAACTTTTTCAGGAGTGTAAAAAAAGAGAACCCGACTTCACTTCTGACCAAAATCTTTTTGCGCCGATGCACAATGTTTGCAAAAAAAATCATCTATGAGATAAACAATGAACTCCAAATGTAATTCGAATATATACCGAATCTATTATGAGAACCCCATGGATCTGTAGTATTGATTCATGGTTCCCTATACTCGATATTTCAACAATCTCTGGTTAGACAGAATTTGAAAAGTTGGAGGTAGTGGAGATTTAAGAAAATTTTAACTCCCAAAACCTATATGAACTCAAGAAAAAAGCAGTAAAGGACGGCTATAATGAAGACATTTACTTTTTTTGCATAATTTGACAATTCTTGATAGATATGTTTATGAGAAAAAAGAAAAACATATTTCAGGATGTAACACCCATTACGGAGTGCCTGAATAAGCTGTAACTAAGAACACTATAACAATTCTCAATGTCTTCAAATCTTCGACATACTTTAATGTTTTCTTACATAATCCTTTTTTCTCTTTCTATACAACTCTACCTTGCCCGTTGCAATAACATTTTCGATCACATCGAAAAGACCAGAAGTGATAAATCTATAGATTATCAAGCGAGTGACCTTGTCCATGCTTAATTCATTCGTTGCTTTTTCATCCTTATCCTGGAAAAAAAAGACAAGTCAAAACACAATTCCATAAAAAACTCGACCATGTATATCCCCATTATTTTCTCAATCCTAGAATTTTATAACTCTGAAAGACGCTATCGACCATTTCAAAAAAAGAAAAAAAACATTTCTCGACTTACCTTCTCACGAGCATTCCTCCTCTGATCAACTTTGCCGTAGTTACGCAGTTTATTGTAAACTCTGTTACTCAGCCTTTCACCGACTACATCGCCAGTGGGAATATTAATAGGCAGCTATATGAAGTGGAAGAGGTATGACCAATCGAAAGTCAAAATTAATATTTCAACAAATTTAAAAACATATAATATAGGTCCACAAACGGTGCTTATTATACCGCAGTTTAATTTAATAAGAACTAACATGCATCACTTTTTCAGAATTACGTCTCTCAGCGATTTCTTTATCATGCTTTGTAATTAAATGCCCCGAAGCATTACGCATGTAACCACTCGGCGGAAACTCATCTTTTGTCCTTGCTAAAATTTGCTATTCTCGGAATTTTTGCATGAAAATATACAGCTATAAGTCGCAAAACTATTCCTTCGCAGTTTTTCATTTGATAATTTGCAGCTGTTAAACATAGTATAGCAAAAAAACACACCCTTACACCATGGAAAATTTCATAACTGTAATTCTTCATAGAAATAATTACAAACCAACATACAGTAAACAAAATCAATAGCGATTTCTCGCAAATCTTCATCGTCTTCACTCAGTTCCTCCTCCAAATCATAATCGCTATTGTACGAAGGATGGTAGCGAACAAACCCGAATTCAACTGCAATATTGAACATCCAGAAGAAATTCGACACTCACCTAAGAATTAGAAAACAAAATTTATTTTTGAAAAACTGATTCTTTGTTTTCGAAAAACCGACTCTTTGTTCCAGTTGCTTCGCCTTTCGCCAACTTCAAACTCATTTCATATTCCCGATCAAACTCTTCCTGCAGTTTTCTGGCAAGTTCTAGGTCATTCTTACATTGCAGCAGTTCACTGGGGCTCAAACCGTATTGTGCTATGGACGGGTCGAGAACATTTGCATCTTCTTCCTGATGGAATTGATAGATTTTTTTTACAAAGTAGAATGTCGGTTAATAAATCATTTATTTCATATATATAGAAGTGTAAGCAAAAAAATGGCAATCAGCATGCAATTCATTTGATTAATAGTAGCTTATTTTCTTTTTGATCTGCTTTCAGTAGTAAAAAATATTATAAAATCAACTTGTCTTACATCAAGTCCTCCAATTTCCCGCTAATTTCGATAAAGAGGAAATGCTGCGTACTATTCGGGTCATTTCTGTTATTCAAGAGTTTAGTACATCAATTAACACAGGAGGCCATAATGAAAATGCAGATAATCATGCTATCTGAGAAGGAATTTAAATGCATTTTCACCAAAATATTTATGCTATATCGCCACTACAGTAGTGGGAAGGATTCAACGTCAATACCTAGAAAAGTTAGAGCATTGCCATCAAAGTACAACGAAAAGTAGAAAGGATTCAACACTGAAATCGGAAGTGCCAGTTAAAATAAAACCGAAAGTATTTTCTAAGACAAGCATCCATGTGAGCAGTTAGTAGAAGTGTATACGTGAACATTTCCGTCTTCCATTAAATAAATATTAATACATTTCTAAAAAAAAAGAACTAAACGAAAAGGTAAACCTCAAGTTGCTCTGCTAACTCCTCACTCATTATTTCAGCAAATGACACCACCGGTTCCACTTCTTCACTTCCTTTTTTGCACCATGCCGATTCCTTCACTTTCAAACTAGTCGACATGCCTCCTAGTTTTACGTCCAGTTCAGTGGAGAAGTGATAAGAAACGTGGTATTAACTTCCTGAACCATATTATGTAAAATCCTTAAACTCAATTTACTTGTTTTTCTTTGAAATATGCTGGTTTAAATCTGAAGACAATGACATAAGCAATTATTGTCTCCCACAAAGCTCAATAGCCCTACTAAACCTTGTCATATGACAGGCCGTATAGAATGACAACTGAAACATGTGTCATTGAATAAACCTTCACAAAAAATACCATCCCGTATACTGGTTGACAAACTGTTGGACATGTGGCCACCGCGACCTTACCTAGCAATGGTCTGAGATATGTGGTAGCTTAGGGCTGATGAGATGTGATAGCTCAGACGTAGTATGTGGTAGTGTAGGAATGATAAGATATGGTAGTACATAATGAGATGAAAGAAAACTGCAGGGAACGATGATCGCTGTGAAATATTGCGTAATCTCGCTAGTCCAATACTTCGAGGACATTTGTCACCGCAATATACACGATCAACAATGAACATTATAGGAAGGACGGCTGGAACGGAGCACTAGGAGAAAACATGCAACACTTTGCACTTGAATTTTTATTACTTTTTATCACCGCAGTTTTTACAGGAATGGAATAGCTCTCCTCGCAGTATTTCCCACTATATATTGCTACACTCATCTCATTTTTTTTCCCTCTCAAATTATTCACACAGCGAGTACAGGCCGCATCTATCTGTCAAATTAGGAGGACCATTGGAGTGAAGTGCGCAGTCAATACATTTGACAATCCTATAAATCATCAACTATGGGGAAATATAAACAGTAAGTGCCCTTACCCAAGACGAGTAGGTGATCAATGAATACTCTTATAGGTGATCAGTGAATACTCCTACCCAAGATCAACGGTTAGCGTAATCTTACACAGATAGTGATTAGTTTATCCTTCGACAGTGCGATGGAAAACAAGAATTTCAAGTATTTCTTAAGGGAGCTTATAAACGTCACATATACTGCTGCAGGAGGAGATATGATGGAACCGTGTAGTTCATGTGGGTAAGCGAATGTATATTATGGTAAGGTAAATAAACTGGCCGAGAGGTAAAGGGTGGGGGTTTCAATAAGGGCGATAATACCGTGAGCTGAAGAATGACAAATATTATCAATTAACTACCTTCCCAAGCGAGACTTCAGTGCTTCTAATCGACCTACAAAAATGACCATCACAGAGCTGGACACTATCATGTGATAGACACCAGTGATGTTTATTAACTGGCTTTAAAAGGAATGAGAAATCAGGAGAGTAAAGAAGTGACAGAGCTTACAAGAACGAACATTTGCCGGATGTGTTCAGTTTTGTCTATTGCTTTGGGAGCATTTTCTGTATGGTACTAACCGTACAGAAAACAAATTGAAAGAATAGGAAAGATTGTTTTGCGATTCAGATGCTTCACCCAAGCAGTCTGCATTAGTCAGGTGGGCAGTCATTGCTTTCTCTGGCTGCATGCAGCCATGTTGGATACAAATGAATCATGTAAATAATTGCTGTGGCAAGAATGAGTGTGATTTGTTTGTCATCAGAACACATAGAAAGCAGTACAACCTGAATTTCAATTTATTCTCTTGCTTAATTTCATCACAACACTCATTATTGAAATCTTAACATATATGTGATATGTTTCGTATGCAGAATATTCTGACTCACTACTGTAATTAGAAAGATTTCATCCACTGTGATGATAACTGACTTTTGAATGGATTAGAGAGAGGCAATCTCATGTTCGCAAAAATGATTTCTTGCAAACTATTAATGCCATTAAACTGCTCTAACACTGAAGAAGACCTTCGCAGATAAGATCTTTTTACGGTGATATGAAGTTTTGAACGGTAAGAAAATAGCGAATAAATTCGAAATGAAGGCACAAACTAGACATCGAACTTTGTAAAATATAAATTCAAAGACCTATTAAGACCAGACATCTGTTTGGTAACATCGTTTCCGTTCCAAATCCTTTTGGAATTTCTGTGCTTCAATTTCGGTTTTCCCTCCAACCTCCATGAATATTCGTATGAATGTATTTTGCACATCACGTGCCATATTACGCGCATCGCTAAAATAACACGAAAGCTCAAAAACAATCTCAGTAACATGCAAAAAACGAGAAAGGTAAGCAGGAAGTTTGAAGAGCTAAAAGCAAATTTACAAGCGAGTTCTCAAGTTACTGAATAATTCATGTAATAAAAAAATGAATCAAAAATAAAGTCAGCATACCCACAAATAAAAATATTTGCACCATCTTCAACAGCTCTCCATATTGCTTCGCGACTTTTCCAAATTTCATCTTGCACATAAATCTGAAGCAATTACTTATGATTAACAAAGGCACTATTATGATTATTGGTTTCTGGTAATTTCGAGTAATTTAGATTTAGAGAACTGTTATGTGTTCTACATATGGATGGAAAGACGTAGACTTGCTTTTTTTGCAGTAACTCTGGAAAATGCAGTGTGTAGTTCGGAAAGTACACCATCTTCAATGAATTTCTTCAGTTCTTCTTCATAAATGTAATCTTGTTCTGGATGTCGACAGCCGTAATATAATATCATCGGCCCAATGCCTTGGCCTAAACAATTTTGTTTCGGAAGATAACATGACTGTAGAATAAATCAGAACCTATAAACTATTACTTGATTGACTAACTAAACTTGAATTGACTTTTACAAACCAACATTCTCAGCAGCAAAAAAAAAACTGCCGGAAGAAAAACTTAAATTTTAGGAATTAATGTGTCTTACATATGATTTTTTACCTTGTTTCTTCTGGAAACTTCGCTCCTGGAGAAAACCTCTAAATGGAGCAAAGCCTGTCCCAGGACCTATCATAATAACTGGTGTTTCCAGTCGATGTGGTAATCGCATTGTTGATTTTCTAACAAATATTGGTACTTTAGAACCTTCACCCTTCAATAAAAACTGCTGATCAATAAAAATAACTCCAACGCATCTTAAAGACATCGGGAAAATACATAAAGGCGTATGCAATGGAAAAGACCTGATAAATTAAGAAAGGACAGAAAAACATTTAAATAATAATATGCAATGAGATAACTAGTCAAATGATCAAATCCGTCTGTTCTGAAGAATTATTGAAGACTCATTTTTGAAAGTCAGAAATTACAGGAGGGATATAAATCAATAACCCCTTACAAAACTTTTAAAAAAGTAAAGAAAATAACTTTTTGGAGAAGAAAGTTGGTGCAAACTCCTTTGACTAATCGATTGCCAATCATATATCTTGTTACAACAACTGTTATAGCCAGTAATTCACGATCATATTTGGATGATGATGATATGCTGTAATAACGAGGCTGCAACAAATAAATGTTGTGTAATTATTCAGTCAAAGTCATCATACAAGTAAATAACAAGATCTAAAATTAAAAACTTACGGGTATACGGGTAGCACAATAAATACAGCATGATTCAAAGAAAACGACTTATATTGTTGCAGAATGTTGACAAACACCTTGAAGAAAAACTGAACCTAAAGATACCTGAAGACGAGGCAACAATTCTAGAACATAATCAACTGGAGGTTTACATGTCGGGAATGCACGAAGAATATCAATAATAGAACGCCTTTCTTTCTGAATATAATTCCCGTATTCCTTCTGCAAATATGAAATCTTATTTCCTGATGGAAATATTCCGAAGAACACATGACCCGACAGAAAGTAATACCATTTTAAGACTTACCAAACCCTGTTCATTTGCCGTGCTCAACAATAAAAGACGTTCTTTCTCATCTTCAGCACTTGTGAAGGAAGCTAATGCTTTCAGAACATTGGATTTAACTGGTGCACAGATATCTACGTAATGAGTAAAAGCGGTTCTTACTGTACATGGACACGGAAATGGATTCTTTTTCAGGTTTTCCTCTAAAAGCAACATTACAGTAAAAGAGGTTTCAAGACAATTAAATCAACATTTCAAATTTTAAGAATAAATTCAAGAAAATGTCCCTTTCTGCCGATACAAATGAATGAATATTTTAATGAACAACGAAAACAGTAATTAATACCATCAAGATTAACCAGACTGAAACGTAGATCCATATCAGCGTCAAGCAATTGCCCCAATTCTTCCACGAAGACTGGATCATTTGTTGGGAAAACGCCTAAATGATCACCCACCTCATACCTAAAAGCTTTTCACTGCACTATTAGTTAACAGTTTAATATTTGTTAAAAATCAAGCGGCTATGGAAATCTAAAGATGAATCGAAAATCCAATGATTAACCTCATTCTTGCTTCACTGATGATAAATTCGATGTGACGACAACTTCTATCACTTTTCATATCGTGTAGCTCACGATTAATATTAACAGTAGCGATAAATGGATTCTTCTGATTGAAGGGCCTAAAAATCGAAAGTCATCACCAATAACCAAAAAGATTATCGAAATGAACCATGACAACTTTGGTAATTTCTCAGGAATCTTTACAACTTTAAAAATGATAGGGAACTGACGGTCTTTGTTTTTCAAATGATCCTAGTCGGCCGTACTCCCCCGTGAATAATTTAACCGAGAAATCTTCCACAATTTCAAGGCGATACTGTCGTAATGAACCTGTTTCAGCAATTTCCCAACCAAAAATATTTGTTATAGCAGACCAAAAGCCTTCTCGCCACCTAAAGATATAAGCTTTGATTTCTGAAGAGCAAATTAAAACACTTCAAAAACAGCTCCGAAAATAAATCACAGCATATTATTTTAAAACATATAAAATAGTTCAGAAGGTAATACAAATGAAGAGTGAAATAAAACAAAATCCATAGATTGAAGAAAGAAAAGAATAAATTCTAAATTAGAAATGTATGAGTATGAATGTCAGACCTCATAAAATCCTCCTCCAGATTTCGATCATCATCGCCGAGGCCAAGGCTGTAAATACGCGTAGCACCGAATTCTTCCATTCGTCGGTTGAAATATTTCGCAATTTCATTGAAGTGCCCATATGTTTTATTACCTAAGCCAAAAACCTGAAAATTACATCTCCAAACTAACCAGCTACTACTAGTATGCTAACACACCCATTGCATATTAACGTTAATTGTCGTGAGGGTAAGAAGACAGAATTGAATAAACAAATGATAGCGAAATTCATGCAGTACAAGACAAACACGTAAAAGTTCGTTCTAATTAAGCTCTAAAAGTCTTTTCTAACCAGTTCAATTCTATGCAACAACATTAAACTAACGGCGAAATTAACGCCTGTCAAATTGAGGTCCGTATTCAAAACATGCTGATAAAATTCCTGCGCATTATCTGTCGGATCGCCTTCCCCGTAAGTTGCCATGAATAATATCAGAAGAACACCAGGAATTTCTTTAATTTTTTCGAAATCCTCAACATTCATTTCCTCTGGGTCGAGTAAAAGAGCCTGAAAACTTCACGGATCAAAAAAGAAATTAAAAACTGAAAAGCCCAACGATATTTTTCCCTTTCCACCCTGCTTGTCAAGTTCAAATTCTAAAAAAAAAATCAGCTTATTTGAAAACATGATTTATCGTTTAATTTATAGTTCTATCAGAAAACAAACCTTCTGACCGTAATTCTGAACATCCTTAGAAAGACGACCAGCCAATTCCTCAGCTGTTCCCGTTTGTGAGCCATAAATTATTAAGACCTGAAAAAAATCGATTTTTGATACTTAGCGCCAGTTTGAATTGATAGATGAGTGGGAAACTTTAAGAAGGGAAAATGTAAAAAAGTAAGAAATTCTTTAAAATTCCCTGAAGAATTGGATTTCCCAACGGATTCCATTAATTCAACTTATATATAAGAAAGAATTTTCTTGAAAGAAAGTGAAGTACAAAGTAAGGGTAGATTTCACAACTCAAAAAAACTTTTAGCATTTTAAAAACCTTTAAATATTTCCTACCTCCTGCAAAAAATAAATTAACTAAGAAAGATCAAAAAGATATCAAGATTGACACAGCCTCGCAAAAGATCAACTTGATAACAGAAGCAAATTAATAAAAATAAAAACTGGTGACCTTTCGTTCTTCCGATTTCATACGTGCAACGAATGAAGTTTGTCGATCAAATGAATTGCTGGGAGAAGTGTAGGATGGCAAGACAGTTGGTGTGAACTTATTAGTGGTTTTTCCGATCCATGACCTCCAGGAATAATAGACTGTTGTAAGCAGTACGATGGTTAAAACAATCAAATCAATTATGTCCAGCCGTGTTCGCAACCAATCCATCACTGCCACCGTCATCACAGTTTTCCTGTTTTTTTCTTTTTTTTGTACTGTAGTTCTTCCAAAATTATTAAATTTACAAACCCCAAATTAAAATTACGAACAACTGGGAAATTTATGTAAATTACTTATGAAGTAGGGAAAGCTAGAAAATAATGTGCACAAGTTCGAGAAACAGAAAACTTTGGTCAGTATCCAAAATTTATCTTGCCATGCTTTTTTCTTTCGATTTCTGATAATAACGTTGATAATATACATTGTCAGATGTATGAAGATGGTGGAATAAAACAGCTAAAAACCAAACTGACAGAAGAATCGAAGGTGTTGTAAACTCCAATTACGAACCATTAATTTTTCATTTCCTACTGCGCCTCCCAACAATGTAATTACTGCGTTAGTTTTTTAGGACTGAACAATACCATGACTTTTATCTGACGAGAAAAAAAAAAACATCTGCTTCTAAGATTTTCAAAAGAGAAATCAAGCATTGCTAAGCATGAATGTTCATCTCAAGCAATGCTCGCCAAGTCATTTTAGAATAATTTTAAACGGTTATACAAATAGAGGATAGGACAGCAAAACAGTTTGTACAGTCCGTTATACCGATCATTGAATAACAATGACAGTCTCTCACTCACGTTTTTAATGCTAATGGATGACTGAAAAACTGCATTTAAAGAAAATCATTTATTAAAATTTTAGAATTTCTTGAAAAAAATGTAAAAAAAAAGACATACCAACGTGAACGGATAGCTCCTGTCTACAAGGAATGAAAGGTATGTGATCTCGTAACTTGATGTTATATTTGTTGATTGTTAGAACCGGTTCCTTTTACCAAATCAGACGCCAATATTTCTTTTCATCCAATATGATCTTAAAAAAATTTCGGTATTTTTCTAAAACTTTTTATTTTGAAAAAAATAGCGAATATAACTGAACATAAAAATATGAATTGGAATATGACAAGTAACTCCGACAACCATTACATAGTTTCGTGAACGATATTTGTTAGATTTTTCCATTACAAAGAGCAATAGAATCATAAGGAATGAATGCTTCGCTCGTGTCACAGGACGAGAAGCGATGAAACAACAAAGATGACGTAAAAAGGAAAGGACTGAAGGTACATTCCTCATTTATTCATCCCCGCACATTGTCATCAAACACGACTTCTGTCGTGAAGCACTCTGCAATTAAATTCAACAACTGAAATGAAAAGTTTGCTAGTTTGGGAAGTTCAAAAGAAAACAAAACAGTAGTGATTTCATTTTGACGAATATAAATGCGCTTATGTTACAACAGTACTTGAATGTTCCTACCCTATGCTTAGTGTTAGTGAATTTGAATGAATCACAGAATTAAATAGCGAATCAGGTAGTAAAAATTATACTTAGAGGACAACCTTAGAGGACAACCAAAGTAATTATTGCATATACTATAAGCAGTGATGACTAAATTTAATGTTGGACCATTCAAGACCTTACATCATATGATTGAAACCGTCACTCCGTTTCAGACATTCGAACTTCGGCTTACTGTAACAGATATCAGCCTAAAGAAACACAGTAAAATTGGGGGATATGCCAATTGTGAAGGAAGGAACCTAAAGCTGACTTGGATAAGAAGCAGTGCATAAATTTATACAAGGTCTTCCGTATGTTCATTTTTAGAGAGCCGAAGGTTACAAAATTTGAAATGCTACAAAACCTTATGCTTGGCACAATAAGGTTAACAGGATAGGGAACTGTCGAATTGCAGTCCAAGATTTTGGAAGCGTAAATGTTTAAGTGGAGTCAAGAGTAAAGTCCAAATAAATCATTAAGCAAATCAATCGCTGAAAGATAAGAAAAGACTAGATGAATTTTCGAATTGACTTCTATTTCATTCCATCTAAAGTAATTGGAAATCAGGTTATCGGCGATTTTTGGCATCTTTTCTTTCACCATCAAAATCAGAACTATTAACTTCAACGAATCTCCCAAATTGTCTATGACTTCCACATTAATTATTCCTCTCTTCCACTCACAACACTGTCTTATCTTCCGAGCATAATAATTCCCCTCGAACTGTTGGCCACACTCTCACATCATTTTGACCACTCGAACTCATCGATTCTAATCACACTTCTTCAATTGCATCACATTACCCCATCACAGAATTAAGAACCGAACTTCCACCCACGAATTTACATCCTTGATGTTTTGACACCACATACCCCGGTTAAATATCACTCAAATCACTCAACAATAATGCATGTGCTTGTCCAACTCAGAAATTCTAAAAGTCAAACAAAATCACACCCTAACTAAAATTGTTAATATTGGTCATGTCAACTTTCTCCTCATACTTCATCTAGGCGCAGGTAAAAGAATACCTAGCTTAAGACCATAGGAATTCACACCATAGTAATTCAGAAACAAAAATATTTATTCAGAGAGTTCTGTTATTCAGAAATATATAGAAAGATCTAAAAGATTTAAATTCTCTAGCGTTTGTCGCCCATTTTCCATATGCAATGCAGTCCAATAAAAAAAAAATTACTTTATTATAGCTATAATAGCACAGAAAACATAACAATGAGGAAAAGAACGAACATCATAATCAAATGATCCTTCAAAATTTAAAAACTACTTGGTATCAAACCATCGCGTTTCGCAAGACGCAAAATGCAGTCATCCGATTCACCCATACACCGAATTTCGCCACAAATTGCGTATCTGTAGTAAAGAAATGTTAACTGAAAAAATAAAGAATCACTATCTTTAAAAATTACAGCAGAAGTGCAACTGTGTTTGTTGTACAGAAAATCTGTGAATCTCTCCAATAAAACTTATTAATCTGGAAATAATTTGATTCCTCTTTAAAATTATCTTAAGCAACCGCAGAGTCTACGAGATCATTCAACAGAAACACTGACGCTCACATTCAATTATTTATACCTTATAACTTTTCCAGGTACCATGCGTCCAGTTTTAGGATCTACATCAACCAAGTCGATTTGCACAGCTGCATGATCAGTTGCTGCAATGATACGCGACGATGAAGAACATTTCCTCGGTATGTATAGCTCAACAAGTGCTCCTTCGTCGTTCTGCATAATTAGCAAATGGAAACTGATTAATTCTTATCCTGCAATCCATTCTGTGAAATTCGATATTAATGGAAAGATGAAAAAGAATGCAAAATGATATGATAAAAAATGCAATGATCCCACTAAGTAAGCTAATACTAGACCACCACCAGCATATTAAGTTTTGAGATCTGCTTCGAATATACACAAAATATGATTAAATAGAGGTGGCATTTCAAACATATAGTGCAAAAATAAGTACTACTGATAAGTATGGGCATCGTTCATTGTAAGACTAGCATCATTACATAAGGACTAAGGCAGAAAAAATTTGGAGCAGAAACAAAAAAAAGAAAAAAAGTCAAGATAAAAGCACTTCCAACTGAAAAAAGAAAAAAAACCATAATCCACATGGATAAAACAGGAAATTAAAAAACTTTAACTATGCCTAAACAGAACAGAGAATTTTGCTTCAATTTCATTGGGTATTATTAGAGCACACACTTCATCTTAGATTAGTTATGCAGCTCAGGAAAACGGCAGGATAAATTGTTCCTAAAAACATCGTAGACTAGAATTATATTAGAGAATAAGCGCAAAGCAAAAATATAAAGAACAAAAAACACAGAAATAAGAGAGAACGAGACTTTAAAAGATAAGAACACGAATTAGTACCAGCAATTCCTCAACTTTGTGAGGGAACTCGCCTTTGATGAAGGAAACTATTCATCTGAAGTGAAACCCAAACAATTCATTGGGTATACAATAAAAAATACACCTAAATAGTGTGATAAAAAAAACTGAGGAGAAATCAGGCCATTACAAAGGCGAACGACATCAAAACCATCAACTGAAATAAACTACTGGTATCTAATGCATTTCTCTCACTCAGTTCAATCAATCGATGGTCTCAAACCACCCAGTCTCCCACACCACCTCGCACTTGCCGACCTGCACACCTGTCCACACGCGAGAACGAATACGCAGTCCTGTTCAACAGGAGACGACCTACCCAGCCCTGCCTCCAAACGACCACAGCCCACTTTACAAACTTCGATCATACGATGTGCCCTCGCCATGTACTAGCAAGATCCCGCATCTGACTTCGTTCTTCAAGTATCTCTCATATACAGTCAAGAACGAGTGAACTTACCAAGAAATTGGGATGACATGGAAATGAACCGTGAAGGATCGGAAATCACCGACTGACTGTCGAATTCAAAATCATTTTTCAGACGATTTATCCTTAAATATGAAAGGAATATTCCGATGGACAAAGCACACTTGATCCAACTTTGACCCCATGCTTACAAATCATGGGGTTAGAAGGGAGATTGGACATTGATAACGTCTAACCTATCTCGATGCAATCAATAAATCTAATGATCCATATGCAGCACAGTCATCCCAAACTTTATCTTAGAGTAGATACGGTGCAGTTTTCAGCTCACCGATTAGATAAATAGCAGCCCAAATAAATTAAAATATAACACTCTTTTTTAAAAATGCCAAAAAGTCGGCTTGCAATTAGTCGCAGCTCCTCTGTCAATAGTTACATTATCCATTGATTGCTTTTTTTAAAAAGAAAAAAAATGATTCTCAAAGTATTGATTCTCAAAGGAATGCTTGTTATTCCAGCACAGAATAGAAGTGTCAGCGTTTGTCACATACTGAGGTGTTTCCTGCATTGATTTCACTTTTCCAGTTTTTCAAATAATTATTTGTAAAACAACGTTTTAATTCCTTTTTAATTCTCATACAGAATTGAAAAACGCTAAATATTGAACTATTTGAAATTTCGTTGCTTGTCACTGTTTGATATCAGCAGAATATCTTTATACTAACAGTCTCCAGATCATAAAATAGAATGGCAATAGTGAGATATTATCTTAGTCAGCCAATTTCTCATGACCTAAATCTTTTTTAAATTTGATAACATCCCCCTCAGCAGTTTTTCCTATATTCGAATCAATTATCCGATCAGTTAGTGCATATTGCGGACTGGATGAATATTAAGGTAAAACAGGAAAAAAAACGATTTCGGTTCACTCCTCTTCTGTAATATCAATAAAAACTATAGAATTATTGGCATGAAAGGCATGAAATAGTTTATAACGAAATCTAACTTACTAAGGCAGTTGACAGTGACATTCGTTAAAATTCTAAACGTGATATTTCACTAATTACAGGCTCTTTACACCGGAAGAAATTCAGCTCTTGCACAATATAATTAATTTCACAGAAATACTGGAATCCGCGGAATGTGAGCTTTTTCAATTACTTTTGTTAGTAAGCGATTTTGAGATTCATTGTTCGAAATTCATTTCTGATTAACTAATGACAACAACAAAAGATGGGGTGTCGAGACCTTTAGTAAGCACTATAAAGCTAACTTATTTTATGTTATGGTTATGATTTTCAATTTTAAAAACAAGTCATATATTTTTTGTGCAATATAGACAACAGGAAATAGTGGATTTTAACTTACACACCGATCCAAGTTTGCGGTCCATTATGGAACCTCTATAAGGATTGGATGATATCAGAAAAAAAAGGAGGAAGCACGGTCAGAGAAGCTTCCGAATTGCGCATTTCTGTCTTATTTATGCTTAGTGCAAACTTTCTGATTCTATTCGTCCTATAAACGATACATATGTAGCTTTCGAAGTATATTATGAATTCGTTTTTATCTCCACTCAAATATGCATCCATGGATTCATGTAAGTAAGCATACAGGAGTTCTATTCTTTTTTTCTGATAGCTTAGAAGAATTGTATGTCTGATTACATTATATTTCTATTGTCACAAATTTTCACTTCAAAATAGAAAAAAAATGTTTGAGGGATAAATTCTCATTCTACTAAACTGCAGAGTGATTTTAAGAAGATTCCTTGATAACTGGTCCAGTAGAACTGTAATGCCTTCAATACATTTCATATGAGTGGGAGAACTTCTTCTCTGAACAACCTATTCAACCAGAAAAGTCTTTGCGATAAGCGCTGTGAAATGCATCTCATTGAGTTTTCGTCGAACATTGTTCCATGTTTGTAAAGCAGAACTTCCATATGTCCATTGATTTTGTTATTCGTTTTTTTTTCTTGGCCCTGTGAAGGCATTATTTGATCACTTTTCGACGACCGATCTCAAGGACAGCAATCCATTTATGTCATCCAAACATTATTTCTTAACAATGCTGAATAACTCGTCCAAGTTTTCATCTCTTGAATAGTTCATGAGGTTTTCTACATTCAAGCGGTTCATGTTTTTGACGTTTCCACGGTTTTAAAATGAAATCCGATCAGTTCATATCCCCACAAACTGTTTAGTCCTTCCAGACTACACTTTGCAGTATGTGTGCGTGTAAAGATAAAAAGAATCGTAGCACCAAGTGGAATTATTTAATGATCTCTGCCAAGAAAATTAATTCAATTATGCTGAGACGGATCTCACATTATCGGACGCAATTCATTGACTAACATCTTGGAAGCTCCAAGAATTTCACTTTATATTTCTGATATTATATACACAAACTGAAGTTAACTTCTTAAAGCAGCGCGAAAACTTCTGAATATAAAAGTAATTGTCTTTACTTTTTGTAGCTTCTTTATATTCATTTGTGAATTTAATTTAGGTAAGTTACTCACGCTCGTACAAATAGTTAAGTTTGCAGCTCTTTTTCATAGATAGGTTTCGTAAATGCTTGTTTTCATAAGTTCTAAAAATAATGAGGTCAGTTCAGTAGGTTGTTCCGAAAGACGAAAGCATGAATTCCCGTTTCCCAAATTTGAAATTGAAAGTGACAAGCCAATAAGGCCAATACCTTCAAGAGATTTCTTCTCAAAATTTTTGTAGCTTCACACACTATTCGTTTAGTAAAAGTTCAAATACTTGCATGTTTAAAATTATACTCCTCATGAAATGACCTCGAAAATAGTATAGATTTCATTAATTTCTCTTTCTTCCTGAATAATATGAAATTCTTTCCTGTACTTCCAGCATCTCTAAAAGTTTGGCATCTACTTTTCATTTCGTTCACTCTGCAATCCAATCTGTCCAGAAAGATCAACAATTTTACTGCACATAAAGAAACGGTTTTATTCTTTGGTTCTTGATATCCACGATTTGAAGAAATTGAAGTCGATCTACCTACTTCCTCCTTAAGGAGGAGGAAATTAGATCGATCCTACAAGTACCATCCCGAAATCCGAATTGTTTGAGGGAAAGGGAGGTAATAGTACCATCATCTCATTTCTATGTCTCATTACAAACATAATCCAAATTTTGAGGAACTTTAAGCCTTCAGCTTTTCATGGCTTACCGTAGTCAGTATGCACGCTTAAGCATTTCGACAACTGTCAACAAGTTCTGTCATCACTCACGACAAAAGTTCATAAGCGATACTGATAAACAATTACAAAGGGAAGGATATGCATACTTAATAACTCAATTTGGACATAGAAAGTAAAAAAGAGTGCTGTACTGCATCAATAAAAGAGAGAAATAAAGTGAAATCCAAAAATCACAGCGATGGCAAATATTGATTCACAGTTTATTAAGATACGATTTAGTATCACTCATCAGTGAATCTCGCCTGAAATTAACCATTACCGCAAATTTGATCAAGTTAACTCACTTCACAATTAAATGTCCTGGAGCTGGTGAAAACTTTCAATTCCTTTGCCCTTTCTTTGTCACACTGAATTTGACTCGAACTTTTGAATTACTGCCTCAATCAACGATCACTAAACTGTCCCGTGCGCAGATTTTCGAATAATGAACCATTGTAAAAGTAGACAAGAGAATCTTCTTGCTTTCTAATATAGAACTAGGTTCACACTTAATTTTAGACTAATGGGAAGAGTTGGGCAGTAGTTTAGTGTAAGATGGATTTATCACATCGAGAGGCCTGATTCAAACGTGAAGACGACCTAGCCGTCTACTCTATTGAGAGTTTTAACGATTCTCAGACGTAGTAAGATTCCTGTTACTTCGCCTGTCACTTTGCTGAGTTTTCTTCTTTCTTGTAATATGATTAACAGCCTAGCATCACTTGACTAATACATCTTATGAAGCGATGAAAAGGAATCGTTCAGTAGGTTTGTCGCAATTAGTTGCGAACCAAATATGACATACGAGTGGCAAAGCAACGTGACACTTGCACCATTCATTATTATAAGTTAAAATAATTGACAGCGAAAATTTCTGAGAGATTTGCGGGTCCCCATAACAGCTCACCAACAACGAATGATTAACTACAAGACAATCAGGGTCAGCGAAATTACTTGTTCAGCAGTTTTGTCGACGGTTTTCCTTGTCTCTCCACTGCAATAGATAAATTCTTCTGTTAAGGCTTTTGGTAAATTATACACGTCTATGCCTATAGATTCTCCCTCCTCTCCCAGGAGGACAAATTAGCTGATTTTGTATAAATAATTTTTGAAAAAGTTATATAAATTGTATGAAAAGGGTAACAAAATATAAAGCAAAACAAACAATAAAAAAGAATGACCAGAAGGAAAACCTGCACAAAAATATCATTAGTATCTGGATAGATGGAACTAAAAGTCCTGTTTGGTAAGGCACGGGGAGTGAAGAGGTACGAATTAGACGAATAGAAAGGAATTGGAACTCAGAATCTTTTCTTTCGGTTGGAATACCGAAAATGTGTACGGAGGTAGTCTTCTGAGGCACTGATAAGAGATCAAATATTGGTTGTGGTTATTGATTACTTAGGGAAATTAACGAAATCTCGCACTTTGTAACATAATAAGTTAGTCTAGTCAATCAGAATTATTCGAAATTCAGTAAAACCTCCTGCCACTTCCGGAGAAAAGCTTTGGAGTTCGGAAGAAAATATTGCATGTACTTCAAAAAATAGTTTTAAAGACCAAAATATTACAGTTGAAAAGGAAGTAGCCATAAAACTGAAGAAATTGTACTATCCATCAGATATTAATTGGCAGAGAACAAATTTGATCCGATACAGTAACGAATAAAGAACGGATGGCAAAGAAATACATATACATGCATATGTCGTCGAACTGAACGATAAAAAGTATTAGAAGATATGAGCAAGCGAAACTGAGCCTGTTATCCATGCATATTCAGCAATTCCCAAATCCCGACATCGCCAACATGCATATTCATGTTCTTTAGATCACTAGGATTTAGTGCATTTTTGAATTTTCTAACAAGGAATTTCAAAATAAGGAATTTCATCATTGTTAATATCGGACTGGCATCGGGTTCATGACAATATGATAGCCATTATTTACTGGTAACGATAGGTATTACTAAGTGCTGTGCTCCGATGCTGACGATCATGTTGTTCGTGTCGTACAAGGTCTTCTAGTGCCCGAATATCTAATCGAACCGAACCAGCATACGTCAAAAAATCTCGAACATCTAAATCAAGCGATGCTAATGATCGCCGACGCCAACCTGCAAACATTTCACACCACTTATCATAAGTGTCAATTCCTGTTCAAATACATCATGAATAGCATTATTATGTTCCACTCATCTACGATTTGTCAAGGGCTGGTAAGCTGTAATGTATTAAAAAAAATGTGGGGAAAATAAGCCAAATAATATGAAAAGCATACAAATAACATATTCATTGAGAAGTATCGGGGGAGTGGACGAACTTTCGAGAGGTATCGGATTGTCTCGGAAATATTCCAGGAGATCAATCATTGTCTCAAAAATCATCTGATGAATGCGACACTCCCCATCAGGCATCATCACGATCCGTACGTGCTGTAATTACCGTAATGAACTCTCAATTCGTCACAGGAAATATAAAGTATCTGAAGTATCTAATGTTGTCATTCTCTAACACGATGTCAACAATTAAAGCACGCAAGTTCAAACTTAAACGAATTGTCAAACTAATAAAAAGCAACACGTCGAAAAATGAACAAAATATTGTGCACATGACCAAAACCTTAGCTTTGCCTTGACAGTTGAATGTCAATACAAATTCGCCAGGGCGTGTTTCGCTTTGACGTACAAGAAATAAACCATGTCCATCAACTCCATTGTGAAGCACTAATCGCGCACTTACAGTGCGGGATAAACGCGCATGAAACCATGGATAGATTTCCAATCCCGGTGTAGAACCGCGTACTGTTCTGATGGGGATTCGCGTTTCCATCCCCGTTGATGACATCGAATGCACATTGTTTAATGACCTGGAATTTATTTGTAGAAGCTTCCAAATTTTGGAACTCCGATTGTAAGATACTCTTCAGAAATATAATTCAGTTATTTTATCATTAAATGATGGAAGTCTGATAGAAAATCAAACACTTCACCTCGTGAAATAATTTCATTTTGATCATCTTTTTGAGTTCAAAGTTTCATGTCCCGGTAATGACCTCTGGCAATCCAAAAATCAAATTTTATAAAGAAGAGAGGATTTTAAAAGCAGAAATCTCGAAGTGAAAATAGATGAAGTGTTATAAGTTTTCCATGACGAAATTCAGTTATCAAGAACAAACCACCTTAGTCTGGCCTTTTTAAGACTTAAGATTCTCTTTTTTTACTTACACGCAAATAAAAATTCACCGTGTCGAAAAAAATTGTCGATTACGAAGAAAGCTGGAGCCAACTGGTGGTGCAGACGGTTGTCGAACGAATCTATGAGTAGAATTAGCGTCGTTCTCCGACACGCAACCTCGTATCACAGCTAACCACTGTTGACAGTCATCCGGATTTCTTGCCTCGATCACATATTCCACCTGAAATTTTATTGAAGGAACAATCTGCTATGCTTAATGGCAATACACAACTATAATCCAACATCATCAATCAGTTAAAAACACTTCGTTTTTTGATAATCAAAAATAATAAAATCCAGTAGTGGAGTGTAATTAATTACGAACAGCCAAAACAAACATCGTTATATCCCCGGATAGCAAATATCGATTCATTTCCTTCCTCAAATTCTAGCGGTGTTGTTTCCCTGATTTCCATTATCAGCAAGCAAAAAATGCCCGATTTCGCTCGACTGCTCTTAAAAGTAGGTTTTTTTTTGTTTTAGAGAATGGAGTAATTTTTTCCGGTTTGGACAGTCGTAATCGTAACACTTTCAAGATGTGCAATGCACAATTGAAATTCTGCGCAACCAAAGCGCATTTAGTATCATTTCAAATTTCAAAGTTTGCAATTATTCGAGTGCACAATTATGCACAAATATTAGCTAGCACTAATATTAGCGATACATTTTTGAAAAGAATGGGTAAATGAATGTGAATCGTTTGCTATAACACAGTTAGTTTCATAAGTGAAAAAATGATCTCGGAAGTGATTATTTAAAAATTCTTTAAAATTTCGCCTACTTTGGGTGGTGAATAAAACTCCAACAAATATCCTCCAGCCGTTTTCACAAGACATAGCCTGCATTTTCGCCACTGCTTCGTTTCAAGTTCCAAACCACTCATATATCTGCATAAACTATTACAGGAAAGAAAAAAGATACGTATAGTGCCTAAGTCAATGCTCGCATCGCAACGACTCAAAAACGCAAGTTTGTAGATGAAATTCAAGTAATATTCTAATTCAAGTGAGACATACAAAAAGATTTCTTCTTTAATTATTAGCAGCAATAAATTGCTAATAATTAAAAGGAAAGAGTTGTCTTTTCAAACAGATTTTAATTATTTTATTTTTTTCATGCAATAAACTATTTGATCATAGTTTTAGTCCTTTTTTCCTCCTTCCCCACCTCTCCGTTTTCGTTTTGTAGCTTCTCTTGTTCCAGTAAACTAGCTAAAATCATATAAAATCCAACTGAAAAGTTCGTGATATTATTTAAAGAATGAATATTTTCGGATAGGAAACATCCTAAACGACAAATGCGCATAGTCTTACCTTACACTGCCCTCACGAATCAACTCAACCGTTGTTTTAGCATGAAAATGTGACCGAAACCAAGAAAGTCGCTTGGTTGATGGCCGACTGGAATTAGAGGGTGTCGGTTGATGTTGAGTCATTGAATCTACCTGGAATTCGAGAAAAGCTTTTGCGGCTGCTGTGAATTCAAATTGAAAACTTTAAAAACTAAGAATGATAGTAGGATTTCAAAGGTGAGACTACCAGTTTCAGGAGATGAAACCCACTTCAACTGTAAATTCAAATTATAAATTCAGGATGAATAATTATGTCCCTATCACATAAAATGATGTTGCTGTTTGTTTTTTAACAGATCTTTAAAAAACACCGAAACGGCGAAGCATAATAAGATATAGAACTGACCAGAATACTGCGTTCTCTTGAGGCCATCTCAGACCTTGATCGTGACAACCAGGTGATGTCGGCTATGCTTGCTGGTCGCTCATATTCGTTCAGAGATCTCCAACCTCTTGAACGGTCACGGTAGTTGACGCTATCAGCAGCTGTACGGTTGGATAAAACATTCTGAAAATATGGAAATGCAAAAACTTTAACACAAAAATCGACAATCACAGAATCCTCAAAAGTAGTAACTTATTCTGCAGAAATGAAAAGAAGAGGTAACAAACATAAAAAGAGAAAAATTCAATGATCAAAAGGAAGTTTAAATCAATCGTTAAATGTTTCGAACTGCAAATGCTATATCATTACCCACTATAAAGTCTTTTAACCATCTGAAACCAGTGGAAGTGATATTAAACATCACTTTCTTGTGCACCAGTTGATCTTTGCACTGTACAAAATAAAAGTCGTATCATGTTATGTTATACTATACCATGTTATGCCCTGTTAAGTTCAGAAACGTACATCATGCCAAATTACACATGAGTAATGGAATTATACGGACAATCAGTGTTATTTTACCCATTGTGAAGTACGGTATGATTACTAAGAGTCTTTGGAAGCGATCAGAGGGGTAAATAGGTAAATGAAGATATCGCTCAAAAAGTGGATAAACTGGTTGAGAAATGGACACATTTCAATATATAGCGTCATAAATTGGTAGACAGTTTATTAGACCACAATTTCTGTCTAACCCCTTGAATTCAAAGTTTTCATTACATTTCACACTGTCCATCCATAGTGATACTGGTGCGGATAAATAGAAGGGAAAGGTTAAATCTATATGCGGATAACTTACATGGATTTACACTTATTCCCTCTATAGAAATCGCTATGAATAGAGGGAGAAGAAATACCTGCCTTCATCATGTGATATAAACGAATGAAATAAATTAATGAAACTAATCGAAGGGGAACTTCAGATGAGGATTAATGCATACAGCTTGAAGAAAGGTAGTTACAGGAAGAATGACGTTTGGGGTTGTCAGCCTTTCCGTCAGTTCTTCACTTAATGTATGGGTAAATTGCTGAACGATATCTGAAACGGAGACGTTGTTTTGAGCGATACCAATACTCGTCGAATACTGATGCCAACTTTCCACAAATTTGAAAGCGACTGACTTTGCGTACTGCATGCAAAATTGTCGCCATCTGTCACTCTCTTGAGCTGAAACTTGCATTATTATCTGGTCGATACGTTCTCGAAAAAATTAATGTAACTGAAACTGAATTTAGTTAAATCATACGGTAAATAGTTCTCAATTTCAATTTTTGTTTTCAGTTAGTGTACGCAGGGAAATGGTTCAAAAGATTCTTTTGATGCATTCCAAAGATCAGTTCAAAAGTCAAAGTTTTTTGGTACTGACCGGTACAAATTTTGGTTCAAATTTACGTCCTGACTGTTGAGCGGTGAGCGGAAACTACCTGCTTAAATATTTTATATTAGGCCACTTCAGACAAGGACACAAAGGAATGAGAAAATGTCATTGACTTGCCTGATAATCATTATTGTGAAAAAGAATAACGTATTCGAAAAAAAAAAAGAAAGAATAACGTATTCCACCATAACTGTTAATTTAAAGGGTAATGGATCAATATTAAAACAATTTTTTTCAAAAGAAATAGTGAAATTAAACAGATGATCCGTCTCTACTTTAATTTACTTCTTGATCTTTGTGCTCTTATTCGCTGATTAGTAATACACTTTTAAATGGCATTTTAAGATTTAATTATATTACAAGCAAACGAAAAAATTCACATTTGCATAGTAAGTTCATTGAATTTTATAACTAAAATAAGCAATAATAAATTGATAGATATGACGAAGGACTGACAGAATAACTGATAGTTACTGCAAATTTCGATTGAATTCTTACCTTCCATTCAATGATCTCTTCAAAATTGAAAGCCACTTTCTTTCTACCGCAAAACCTTTTCTGTTAATAACTCTTATACTTTCGGCTTTCAAATGGACTGTTCATCAACAAAAGAAATCGTCCCCCTCGCAATGATGACCATCTTTAGTTCGCAGAATGAAATTTGCACATTATCCAAGTAATATTCAGCTTGTTATGCATATAATATAATTGATCGTTCAATTAATAAATCAGTCGTGGCTGCATGTTAAATGAATAAATTCCAATTCATCAAACATCAAATCGTGCTCTTTCCAGCAAGATTTACTACGATTTGATTGACGTCTTCCGTCCAATCTAAACAATTTCTTTTCATGTTTCTGAAAGAGAGTTTAGCAAATATTTAGCACGATTAACAAATACACTGCTAATAAATAATCAATATGCACAATTTTGGGCCATGTTGTCAACGTCGGAATGGTTCAGAAAAGAAATCGGACTGAGCTTATTAAACATTACATATTTTTGAAGTTTGCAAAGTTTCATCCTGGGGTACTTCTGAATGAAATCTCATGACAAGCAGACATCTCATCTACATTTCAAGTAATGTTCCGAATAAAATTAGATTAAAGAACCTGAAGAAAACGATGCTTCGAACAAGTATTGGATTTTTAAATTCAAACCAGTAATATAGCCTGGAGACAAAAAAATATTGGCGGTAACTATAGGTCACTAATATGAAGTTCTTAAATTGCCAAGCATCTATTGTAATATCTCTGGTCAGCTGAATTACTGACTGCTTAAGTCCTTGTGACATTAACTGACATTATTTGTGCCTGATTAAAAAGCTAGCAAGTAGAGTTGACGACAAGAGAAGCAAAATTTCCGGACTTGAAGCTTTCAGGAGATAATTACCTAGATTATGATACGAATTTTAAATAGAATTTGAGTAGTTAATAAAATAAAGTAATCAATAAATCAGTGATGTCCATAAAGGAAAAATTAAATTTTAATTTAAATCTCTAAATCCATGCTATGCAGTTCGAACCATTTCTAATTAAAATTTCCGTCTTGGACTAAACAAAATTCTACAGAATATTTAGTGAATTAAAATGGTTGTGTGAACTTTTCACCCTGAATCAAACCTTTCTGACATGTTCATGCCAACATTCTTGATTAATCACCAAACAAAGCCTTCTACAATGTTCAAAGTAATGAAGCAATGTTAAAGGTTGAAATTTCCTTAACAATTCAATAAATTGACGAGAAAATAACCCAACTGATTTGGCAGGTGAAAAAAAAAGGATCTTTTTGGGGAATTTAACGAAATGTATTAAATTTGTTGATTAATCTTTTGCAAGCAAAGTAAAGAAGAAGAGTGTGAAGAAAGGTACTTAAAATGAATAACCTGATCAAAGATATCGTGATAACTTTATAGGAAAGCAGTGAGGTTAGATAAGTTGGAATAGTGCTGGATTGAAAAAAGAGATTTTTAGGAGCTAATAGTTAATAAACCAAAGCGCATCTGTCATTTCCCGTTTCTTTTTTCACTTACTCCTTGTTTTGAAAAAATGGAAGAAAAAAAAGAAAAGAAAAAGGAAATCCGGAGACAGAACAACGAATCAGAGAGTTGCAAAGGCGGAAAGAATTTTGCTACACTGTGATCGAGCAAAATGCTAATGGAATCGGCCAGTGATTATTGTATTTTCGTTATGCATTAATTTTCTATATGATAATACACTATATTCAGTGTGAGATTTATATTTTAAAAAAAGAAAAAAAAATTCTCAAGAAATCAATTGATCGATTTTATCATTTCAATAGGACTTCAAGTTCTATTTTCCTGATAGAAATTGAATTTAGTGGAAAAGATTTATGCTTGTATTGAGTGAAAATGCAACAGATTCTTATTTCACTCTTTTAAGATGAACATTTTGGATAAGAAATTTGTTACTGAAGCAAAATTATAAAGAAGGCAGTTTTCTTCTTGCTCATTTAAAATTAATTAGAAAAATTGATTTAAGATTAAACTTAAAATTAAATGATTGAAAATCATTTGCAATTTATGGCATCTTAAAATCGGCATTTGTTGTTTTTAGTTTTAACTGAGAAGTAGAAAGATGGAAGAATTTGCTATCATAGTCGAACTTCTTTTTTGCTGGTTGAAATCAAATTCTTTTTATTTGAAAGGAGTGGAAGAGCAAAAAACGGAGTGATACATCTGTTGAAAGCTGCTCATCTATGAACGAACAACTGATGCATGAGCTGATTAAAACTGCTGTCATACTCAACAAAAATTTGGCTTACTTACTTAGTAATGTCCCAACAAATCTTAGCGAACACAGGAAGTCCAAGAATAATGAATTGATACCAATATAAACATCTATGACAAAATTTTCAATTAAAAGAATTAAACTTCACTCTTTCTTTGGACTTCATAGAAATGATTTGATTTCATGTAAAAAATAAATTTCATACGTGCTCGTAGCCATTACAATTAACCATTACTAAATTTATCATAGTAAACACTCACCACGGTACAGTCTCGTTTCTATGCAATAGTCAAGGCGTCTAGAAGTAAATTTTGAATGATCACAGTCACTCAGTCATTTACATAGATAAATTACAATCAGATGATATTCCGGTAACTTTAGACATGACATCAAATTAGCTAAGATTGAAATTTGAATTCAAAAAAAAGGTAAGTAAACGAGACTGTCCAAAAATCAATTACATCAATCTGCTAGAATCTACTTTATCTGGAATGCAATTACAGAATCAAGGGGTTGCGTGCTGCAGTGCATACCGGACAACGTTGATAATAGTTGTAAAAGTTATTATGTTTTCCTAGAAAATGAATAAATCCTTTGGCCTCGAAATTTGAACTGATGTTAATTTTAAACCTTTAAATTTTCGTAAAAACCGAAAAAATGCACCAAGCAAATTTCCACCATGAGTTTAATACAAATGTTTGGAGGCATACTTTCTCACGAATTCTACTATCCATTTTTGGGATCAAATGGTAGAAAATAGTAAAGTAAACTGGAATCTACTAATAATAATAGTAGCATTGGAATCAGAAATATCTGAAACTGCTTTGGATAGCACAGCTGAAATGTCGCAAACAAAACATGAGATAAGATATCCAAGCAAGTATTCAGTTAATCTAACTTCATTATAACAGGACCATCAGTACTATTTCATTGTACGGGGTCACTTCGTTCAGTATTATACTTAAAACTGCAAGACAGCTGAATATGGTAGGTTCAAGAAACATTAAGTTGCATAATTCGCTTTTTCGAGAGAGGAAGAACAATGATCAATGTCTAAGAAGTTCAGAAGACAACTACTTTCCGGAGAATGTTTCAAAATTAAAGATACTGGAGAACTTAATCATACTGAAATCGCTGGATTTTCTGCAAAGTAAGAAACACTCACATGAAGGGTTTCAGTTAGTTCTTTGAAAGTTTTAGATTTGAGGCTAAAAGATAAGAAAGCATGACACGGATATTGCAGTGAACTGTGAGAAATAAAGAAATGCGGCCAGAAATCTTAAATTTCCATAAATTAGGTTCCATTATCTTTTCTTTAAAAAAAAAAAAGGTGAAAAACGTCAGATAGTTTAAAGAGATGAAATGATTCTATTCTTTCCTATTCAAGGACATGCACCGGACATCCAATGCTGTCATTCTGGACATGTCAAGATGAAGGATAGAGGAACAGTTCAAAACTGGATCAAGCATTACCATTATTACTATATAGTTGTCAGGACAATCCTTTCAAGCTGCATATGTCATCTGAATCCATCAGAGATTTCTGCAGCACTTTCCCATCGATATAATAATCTAGTACTGACCCGATAGTGATGATGATGACTAGTGCCAAATCAATACTAGTTCATACGCCGTCTTAGAACAAATGTCGATGTTTACGAAGATCAAGAGGTTGCTTAAATAGTTCGAAGAGCAAGTAATGAATAGCTGAAATAATGTTCGGTAGCTATTTGGAGATAATATGATCAAAGTTTATAAAATTTAACATAGAATGGAATTAATTTATAAACAAACCTTGGAGTGATGAGCTTAAGTATATGTGGTGATGGATAAAACTAGTTAAGAACAGAAAGGGCACAGTGTGACTTCCTTACTTCCGGAAAACTATCAAATTGAACATCTTAACGGAAGTGGCGAAAAAAAAATAAAAATCGAGGAAAAACGATTTGTTACATATGAGGTGGGGTATTTGTACTTTCTAAGTTTATCAGTTGGAAAAGGTTGAAAAAACGGAAATAAGGCATCACATCCCTAACAAGCGATAATATTCGGATAAGATCATGACTAAAACACGAAAGATATTATCAAAAATAAAACTTCAGTTTTTTAGAATAACATAAAAAGTATACGAATTTTTCAAAGCCTCGGAAAAGAGAAACAAAATGCAGAGTGTTCTCCCGAAATAAATCACCGACATGGTGGAAAACAAATGAAAATCAGTGGCATAAAAAAGTATCAAGTTCGAAGGTGACTGATTTTTCACATCATATTAATGGCAAAAGCAAAAGTATTTGGGAGATTTTTGGAAGTTAAAGTAGAAATTTCGAGAGATTTAATTAATAATTAACTGTTAAATAATTAAAACAAACAGGGAAAGGAAGAGAAAAACCGTCAGAATAAACTGCTAATTACAATATCTTCTTTAAGGAGTAGTGGAACAGAGTCGATGAGACGAATTTCTATCATCGAATAGAAGAAACGAATTTGTACGAGTTGCATCACACCACAAACTGAGACACGTTGACGCCGATTGGCGTATGTTGGCAGATAGTGTATCACTGTCATTTGAGATACCGTGAATGGCGATGGTAGTAATAGTGGCGGTAACTGCAACGTTTCGATCCACAGACTTTTCGAGAAGGAAGGATAATTATGATAGCAACGTGAAGGAGGCACATAGAGGATGCCATAAAATTAAGTCGACAGACGGATGCACTACCACCGGAAGTTGTTTCCTCTCTTTATTCCCTGGCTTTCCGTTGTGGGCTTAATGTCCGTGTTAGAGAAGCAGCAGTAGCAGTACTAGCAGTACTAGCAGCAGTAGCAGTAATAGCAGCAGTAGCAGTACTAGCAGTACTAGCAGCAGTAGCAGTAATAGCAGCAGTAGCAGTACTAGCAGTACTAGCAGCAGTAGCAGTAGCAGTA